CAAAAAAAAAAAAAAAAGTTTATTTATTATTGTTAACCCAACTTTATTTTGATAGTTAAATGTAATATTTATAAGAAATCTCAGAATACGTTTTGAGAGCTTTTTTCAATTTTAGCTATAATAATAATAATAATAATAAAAATAAAAAAAAATCACAAACGCCCCATAAACTTTATTATTAACAATAAACTCAATGTTTATTATATTCAGGGGACACAAAACACAAATAAAGCTGGCTACCATAAATAAGAATGTAATTTAAATACTAAATAAATAAATCGCGTCGGCGCGGCACGTCATTGGTCCGCGCGTACGCCCCGCCCCCCGGAGGCTCTTTCGCTGCGCCCTGGACACCGTTGCTAAGGAATCCCGAGTACGCGCGAGTGGGTCGGAGGCGCGCAGCTCGAGCGCTGCTCTCAGTGCTCAGACATGGCGGCGGACCTGAACCCGGAGTGGCTGTCTTGCCTGCCTTCCTCGTGGAGTTACGGCGTGAGCCGGGACGGACGCGTCTTCTTTATCAAGTAAATATCAGCGGGATGGAAAGTTGGGGCTCGGTTCGACTCGAATGCCTCTCGTCGGTTGTTTTTTCACCTTCTCTCCCCCCTTTTTTTCTCACCCAACAGTGAAGAAGGGAAGAGCACAACCTGGCTGCATCCAGTCACGGGAGAAGCCGTCATTACAGGGCACAGAAAAACTCCAGGTAAGAGGCTTTCAACCGCTTTTCCGTTGGAGAAAAATCACCGCATGAGGAGATATGCAATCAGTGCAGCTGCAGACCCGCAGCTGTGGCAGAACGCGACGCGCGCAATGTCAGTGCGTTTGCGTTGCGTTGCGTTGCATGCAGCACACTTGCACTGTACGGCTGCATGGTCATGTGTGGCTTTTGATTGACAGCTGTCATTGCTATTTTCCACTCGTTGGATCGTTTGACAGCTTGCATGCTTTGTATTGCTCAAAAACTTCTTGAATGCCTAAAATCCAGTTTTATTTGCGTTATGAAAGCATTAGCAGTTTCCTGTCACCCTTAAGCGACAAAACAAGCTGAATGGTCCACAGTTATATGTTGATCTGCAGTATAGAGATGCGAGCAGTGCTTGTGGGTATTGAACAGCACTGCAGATCACAGGCACGATGAGAGATGTGCTGCCCGCTGCAGCCAGTCACTCTAGAAAGATGCTTTTTGCATGCAAAACTCATTGTCCTTGTGTCTTCTCTTTTAGATTTACCCACTGGATGGGAAGAAGGATATACGTTTGAAGGAGCCCGTTGCTTTATCAAGTGAGTTGGAGGTTCGGCTCCTGGCGGAAGGAGGATATTT